TCACAAGTATTGGAGTGTTAAATCAGGTTCGTAGGTTTTGTTCGGAAGTGACTCGAAGTTGATCTGACTCGAAATTGTTTGACTTGAATTGACTATAATACAGGTCAGAAGTCCAACTCGAACCCGACCTGATGATTTGAACATGACCATGAAACTTGTACACAAGATATTAGCTATTGAGGTGGATTTCAATTTAAACTTAAGTTGTATTTGAGTCAGCCTCTAGTCAACTTCAGGTTGGCATATTGATTTTGAGTCAATTTTGATTAGCCAGTTGATTTTGAATTTAATTTAAGGGTCCTAAGCGGACCCCAAACAAAAAAAAGTATTATTAATCTGAATTCATGCCAAAAAATCATCTGTCAATCAGAATTTAAAATTTTGAGTCAGATGCGAATAGAGTTGAACTATTGAATCAAATTTTGGAGTTCTTTTTTGGTGAGGAGACCTGACGGTCCGCATGGTACGCTGACCAATAAAATTTTGCCACGTGGAAAATGTGGGACCCGCTTGTCCACGTAATTTAAAAAAAAATAAAAAATTCGCAGAAGCCGACCTGGCCCGCGTCTATTTGAGTACCACGCTTTTTAGAATGTCGAGGAAGACGATTCGAAAATACTCTCCAGTGGTTTTTCTTCTACGTTTTCGTCGCTCGCTCTGCTAGGGTTTCACATTTCCCTCGTTTGCTAGCTTGGAAGCCGTGAGACGATGGCGTTTGATGATCCGGAGTATGCGCAGACTAAAGAGAGCTCAAGAACAGTATCAGAAGAGGCTGAGAAGACAGAGGTTGAGCATCCATTGAAGTCAAAGAAGCAGAGGAAGAAGAAGGAGGCGAAGAGGATGAAGGAGGGCATTGAAAAGGAAAACTTGTCCTGGTAATTGTCATTGTTTTATTCTCAAGTTATTTTTAGGTTATTAGTTTGATTATTATTGGTTTATTCTTGAGTTACTCCGAAATGTAGTTCTTATTGGCAGCTATTCCATGTTATTCTTGTGTTATTTTTAAATTATTCGTAGGTTATTTATAAGTTAGGCGTATCTTATTCACTGGTTAAACCTGTGTTATTTTTAGGTTATTTTTAGGTTATTTTTCAGGTTATTTGTAGGTTATTTATCAGGTTATTTGTAGGTTATTCATAGGTTATTGTTGGGTTATTTTTAAGTTAACTCGTGGGTTATTTTTAGTTTATTCTCAGGTTATTCTTGGGTTATTTTTAGTGTATTGTTCTGTTAATTTTGAAGTAATGCGTAGGTTATTTTTAAGTTATTTGCAGTTTTATGCGCAGGTTATTCATAGGTTATTCCTAGGGTATTTTTAGGTTATGTCAGGTTATTCTTAGGTTATTTGTACGTTATTTTTAGTGTATTGTTTTTTTAATTCTGAAGTAATGTGTAGGTTTTTTTTAAGTAAAGAGTAGATTATTGCTAGGTTTTTCCTGGCTGATTTTGAGGATATTTTTAAGTTATTTTTAGGTTATTCCTGGGTTATTTTTAAGTTATTTGCAGGTTTATGCGCAGGTTATTCATAGGTTATTCCTAGGATATTTTTAGGTTATGTCAGGTTATTCGTAGGTTATTTGTACGTTATTTTTAGTGTATTGTATTATTTTGTTAATTCTGAAGCAATGCGAAGGTTTTTTTTTTTAAGTTATGAGTAGGTTATTGCTAGGTTATTCCTGGCTGATTTTGAAGATATTTTTAAGTTATTTTTAGGTTTTTCCTAGGTTATTCCTGGGTTATTTTTAAGTTATTTGCAGGTTTATGCGCAGGTTATTCATAGGTTATTCCTATGGTACTTTTAGGTTATGCCAGGTTATTCGTAGTTTATTTGTACGTTATTTTTAGTGTATTGTTTTGTTAATTCTTAAGTAATGCGTAGGTTTTTTTAAAACTATGAGTAGATTATTGCTAGGTTATTCCTGC